CCCCCCCCCACGTAAATCTCCATATTAAATAGCACGAAGTTGGTTATTCTCACCTTATGGGGAGAAACGTCTCGTCAGTATCTCAGTTCACACCTCCCTATCTCCCCATCTAGACTTGAATTATATTTCAGCGAGGCTATTTTCAGTAAGACGGTATCAATATTGTACTTATGGGGTGTGCCATAGACTTACCTCCACGTGGTGCACCCTGGGCAAAGTATATTCATACGGTGAAAAGTCTGACTTCAAACTGTCATGATCCCACTGTATGCCATATTCGACTACTTCCAAGTACTCACCTCACCTTTTTTCTACCTTCGTCTTTGAAGCGCTCTTCTGTTCCCCCCCCCCCTCTCTCGGCTTTTTTTCCACTTCGATGTTCCTTCCCCTCTGTGAAGCCTGAAGTCAACTAAAGGGCTAATGATAACTATCAGAACGCATTTTACATTTGAAACAAGACTCGGCCAAATACGTCAAATTAGTAATATTTGGGTCTTAAAGTGGAACTGGTAACTTCTCAATAAATAGAACTTTCTTTAAATTTGACAGAAACATCGGTCAGCGAGATACGCCAATCCTGAAATGGTATATCACAATATAACGCACATTCGTCAACTTGGTGCACTGTATATTTTGCTCTAATTCATGCACTCGAAAACTATCCCGAACTTTTATGTGACTCAATATTTGTTAAAAAGTATAAACAAAAATTTAAAATTTATGATGGTTTTGAAGATCAGTTCGGTTTCCAAAGTACCCCAGTCGGATTAAGTGTTGAAAAAAATAGCGGCTTTTCACAGAAATGTTAATTTCAGAGACGCTTTCACAGAAACTGGCAACCCTGGTAATTTGAAAGGAGGCCGTATAGTAAAATTTATTTTAAATTTAACTATAATTCCTCCAAATTCGGAAATACTGGAAACACTTCCGAAAAATCATATTTTTTAAGTTGCGAAAGCAGAAAAACTTATTTTTGAAATTCAATTAAACTATGGCTCCTGAATATCAAGGTTATCAAATTTTGATGATCTATTTTTGGATCAAATTTACTGGTTGCCCATATAAATGTTCTGAAGGAAGTAAAGGGAAATTTGAAGACATTCCCTCTGAAATGGAGGAATTTCCCAGGATATCCAGGTATGGTCTTGTGCATTTGTCACGATTTTGGTTTAGAGAATTTTCAAGAGATAATGTCCTTTTTCAAAGCCCGAGTATAGTAAGTTCAATAGTTTGAAGCAATAATAATTTATCAATTTTTAACTTGGAGGTAGGAAGGGCAACCCATTATCTCCTCAGCTTTTCACCAATGTAGAATAATATCCTATGGTTCTTAACAGCACGTGCATGTGTTGATGAGTAATGAATTCGCAAAACTCCTACGAATGAAACGGGAATGCCTACCGCCACACAGTAGACATCGTTCATTTCTTAAAATTATATCAACTTCTGCAAGCGGATGAAATGAGAAATCATTGGTGACTATTTGATTGAGAAATTCTGTCACCTCATCGCCGCTCTTTATAAAAAAAACGTTAACTACTCGGATTCCGGAAGAACGACGAAGGGAGGGAATCTGTAACACATGCAGCGTTTTTAATTAAGAAAATTGATTTTTATAGTATATAACGCGTTGTAAATACCTGGCCACACAGTTAATCAATAATTACTCCAGTGGATGTGAGACTATTAATCAATAATCGATAATCCAGTGCGTGAAGGAAGCCATTCATGAGTTTTTCTTGAGCACGCAAGAAACATTCGACTCGGGGCTCCATCCACATAGAAAAATCACGATCAAAACAGGTCTCTAATTTGACAAGACATATTTAGACAGAGTACGGTAAATATTTCCAATTTTAATGTAAACAAATATTGGCACGCCATAGGGGTGTTGATAAGGAAGGGGGAATATTTTTGAGTATACGGTCTTTTTAAAGAGAATTAATAGTTTTGGTACCGAATTGCCCAGTTTTGAGTTGCTAAGCTCGGGTCCGGGAACTCACCCATGTTGGTCCAGCGATTAATGGCTGTACCTGCCACCCAAATCATTTTTAAACATCCAAACGTTTACGCCAAAATTACTTTCTTAATGAAGGTATTCGATCAGAAACTCCCTTCTAGAGCTGAGCAGTTGTAGACGGTTAATAGTTTCGTAAGAGCGGAGTAAATTATATCAACCGTTGTTTACCTTGGTAATAGTTTAAAATTATGACGATAATACTCAATCATTTTTGTACAATCACAGTTAGCTATACTCTCAAAAATCTCATCCTAAATCGTAAAAAATGTATTAATGTGACTAGAGCTCACCTGTATTCTGAAAGAAGCTGTTGGCCTAAAGATCCCTTCCAATATCCCACTATGCTTTTGGAGTGCCGTTCAAAATGGGTGTCTGTACATATTGACGAAATTGGTAAAAATGAGTTGTCATGACTATTAGCACAATGAGAAGCCTAATTTGATTGCTAACATTCGAAAATCGATGGAAATAGGAACGACCACCCATGAGTCACCTCAAGAACTTGCTACCTCACAGCTGTCTCCCATCCCAGTAGAAATTTGCTTTGATTCTTTCGCCTGAAAGGGGATATAAATCAATTCCATCAAGAGAGGTAAACATCTTAGGTAGAACAACCACATTGATTAATTCCAAACGTAATCCAATTGCGTTTCACTTTCTCCTCATTATTGCCAACCTAGTAGAGAGAGGTGTTACAACAATGAAGGAATTCACAAAGCACTAAGATCAAGTATATTTACATCAGAAGACATCAGCAAGGCAATGTCAACAAAATTAGAGGATAGAGTAGGTGGGAAGGATGACAGGCGACAGCAAAGGGCAACGGTCAACCCAAAGCACAAAAGCAGAGAAAACAAAATAATAATAGTAGTAGTAGTGGTAGAAGTAGTAAAAGCATCCGCATCATCAATTCAATCAATATTAGTAATAATATAGTCCCGAAAGTAGATAGCCAAATGAAGAAGAAGGGGACGCAAAATCACAGATTGCAAAAAAAGGATGTGGTCAGTTTCATGTGTCCTCATTCCTCCAGTTCACTCGCTGCTAACTTTACCTCATCAGCTTGAAGAGCTACGCTCAAACGAATGTCTTTTACATCAATCTTCTCTAGAAACCCACTCTCGTGTTGGAAGATTCCTTCCAAAGCGGAAGAGAGGCTACTAGCCGGTGGAAGATCAGGAGTATTTAATTGTGGTGTCAAAGTCACGGCATCGTTGAGCCGTCCAAGAACTTCGGTCGTAGTTGCAACAATCGATACAGCAGCTGCAGGTGAGGATGCTTGAAGTAGAGACTCGGGTAAGCAGTTGTCAGGACAGTGGGAATCCACTCTCGCCCCAAGGACAAGTACTCCAAGAGTTTGTTCAAGGAACTTTACCAGAGCATCACTTAAAGGATTAGCAAGGGCTACGTAGAACTCATTAGACTTCGCATCAAGGATTGCCAGCTTCGCCAATCTAAGAGCTTGTTCACGAGCTCTGATTGCTTCCAAGTCTTCAGAAGGAGTTGGCTGAGATGTAACGTCAGGGGAAATAAGAGATTCTTGATTCTGTACTGCGGGTGTGGAGTTAAAATCCTCTGAACCACGAGGACTAACTATACTCTTCTCAGAGGACACATTTGGACGTCGACTGAATCCACAGCAAAAGCAGGAGAGGATCCGTTGCAAGGCGCTGGCCTTTGCATTTGGTTTCACCACCTCAGGGAGAAATTCTTTGGCTGAGATCTTGGGAGGCGATGTTGTTGTAACTTCGGAAGTTGGCGGAGGGAGTGAGTAAAAGGAACTCTTGAGATCTATCCAAAAGTAGGCACCGTTGGATGTTTCCAGTAGACTAGAAGGCAAGAGAGAAGACAAAAAATATTCCGTGGTGCACTGGAGTAGGGGGGGCGGGGGGCGGTGTGACAGTTGGTACGACAAGTAATCGGAAAATCGAATTTCGGACATTATAAGACGAAACGGGGGGGGGGACTAAAAACAAAGTGCACTTTTAGTGAAAAATTAACAGTCGAAAAGATGATTCACACCGCGGGAGAGAATTTGCATACCAACACAGTCGGCGACTTATTTGACCAACTTAACAAAAAAACAACATGTTAAACGAATTCATTAAATTTTGGGATCATTGGCGCGATGTACATTTGCATTTCCAACACCTAAAGCATAGCTCACTTTGACCTAAGATCAGTAAACTTGCCTCAAGGCAATCAATATGCCTCTTCTCAATGTAGCCAATTTGCGCATTACGCATTTTTCAAGAAAAAAAGTGGAAGTAGAGTAAAAACCACTCAGTAGGTCGAAGGGGGATATTTGATTCTTCTCATTTATTTAACAATCATTTAGTTAATATTCTCACCTTTAATAATAATAACAAAAAAGTATAGGGAAACCCAGATGTATTAAGATAGCACATGAAATTAGGAATTTTAAATTCCCAAGTGGATGTTACGCGGCAGTAGTCCAGAGCTCAATCAAAAATGTCTGCTAATTCAGAGGCTACAAGATCCAAGTTAATCGATAACAACCAATAAAACGGATAGTCAATAGGTTGAGTTAGCTTTTGTTATTAAATCTTACATTCCCCCCCCCCCCCTAATTCAACTCAAAACAGGCAAGGGTCTTTCTCATTTAACTAAGAGCGCTTCGTCTAAGGGTCTTCAATTAGCCTTAGCAATTAACAACCAAACGTTCATCAAAATAAAAGGAGGTAAAGTTCGAACTTAACTAATCAGAAAACGATGACTAATCACGAAGATTCCCAAAGGCACTGGACATAAATTTTCCTTGGTCCTATTTCCAGCCACAAAACACCATGTCTCTATCCTCTCCTCCCCCCCCCCCCCCCCCCCCCCCCCCCCCCACCCCACCCCACCCCCACTCTCCCCCATAAACACAGCTAACCACATGAGGAACTATAACTAAAGTAACACCACTTTTCTGCAGAACATAGTAAAGGGAGCTGACGGCCTAACAAAACTCGGCTGCCCCCGTGTTAAAGTGTTTTGTCACGAAGTGAGCTTTTGATACGCGCACCTCCCCCTCCCCTCGGCCGCGTAGTGAAATTGGTGACTCATCGATGGACCAATAGACCAACCCGCGAATTAACTACTTGGGAGAGGGGGGGAGAGAGAGAGAGGTAATGGCCTACTACTCACAGACACGCATTACATGGCGCTCTCGGGTGTGGGGTGCATTAGCCTGGGAAATGGATACATTGATGTAGTATCATGGCCAAACTGCTATTCCAGCGAATTGAACTCGGCTAACTAGGTGCATCTTTAAAGGCAAGAATTTAGAAACAAAAAAATAACAAATCAAACTCCTCTTCCCGCCTCCATAGTTTCCAAGTCAGCAAAATTCATGGACCTAAACACATTCGCGACACACGGAGAGTAGAGTGTTCATTGCAAAGTCAGAGAACGTGGGTTCGACACCCATCAGTTTACAACTAAAGACAAGCAGTCAACCACGAGGACTTATTTGAACTAATAAAGAGCCAACAGAAATCGATTTTTTCATCAGAGAGACTGCATGGTGTCATCCCTAAACCCAAGGCATTAAAGCCACTTTAAAATTTACAATATGATCCAACATAATTGCCAAGATTAGGCATCTCCATTTTCCCACAGACAACTACGCACCCACCTAAATGCTAATCCTTATGCACCGTGTACGATTTCGGACATTACAGTCGCCGCAGATAAGAGACGTAGAAGCTTCTGAGTTTGAATAAAAAACAAAAACAGAGGTTCGTTTTGAAAGTTACTATGACATTCAATTTTAGGGTGTGCGATAGACTTGCCTCCACGTGGTGCATCCTGGGCAACGTATACTCCTACGGCAAAAAAGTCTATTATTCGGCAGTTGACTTCTACCATGACCCCACTGTATGTCATATTCAACCACTTTCACAGTACTCACCTTACCTTTTATCTGCCCTTGTGTCTATCTGTCTCTTTTACATTTATGAATCATTATTCTATCCCCCCTCGAGACTTTTTATAACTTTGATGTTCCTCCTCCTCTCCGTGAACCCAAAGTCAGCTAGAGGGCTAATGATAACTATCAAAACGCCTGCCATTTGAGATAATTAAATAAATAATGTCAATGAGTTGTAGAGATGGTAACTTTTAGTGCATCGAAATAGTTAAATCCAACTCCATCGTGGAGATATTTTCAATTTGAAGTCAGTAAAATGGAGAGGTTTATTTTAGATTTCTTTAGGCATAAACGCGAGACTTTTAAAATTGGGAGCAAAGCAATTTTCTGCAGCTTCATCGCAAAAAAAACAGAAGCAGCGAAGCATAAATAGAGATGAAGGAGACTCCAATGCAAATGAGGCTTAGTAAAACAAAACAATGGGCCTATATAAGAAATCAAAAAATTATCTTTTCGCGATATCTTGTCACTTATTTCAGCTCCAAATGGGGAAAAAACAGTCAAAGTAACAAAGTGATTTGTTTTAATGTGAATAAATCACGCGGTCATTTTGTCTCGTCATGGAATTGACACGTAACTATTGAACACAACTTTTCTCATTTCCACACGCACCTAGACTTCCGCAGAATAGTAAATTGCGCATCCAGGGTCCTTTAAGCGGGCGGGTGCAGTAGCGGTCAAATAACAATTAGAATATAAAAAGCGAAGTGAGACGAATGAAATGTAAATTTAGCAAATGGAATGCATGTATTTTGGTGTGAAATTCATTCGAAAGTGTTGGTGACGAAGACAGGGCGCCTGTTCCGAATAAGACAACAAAAACGGTAATGTGGAATTGATTCATTTGCGGTGCAATCTGAAAAATGGGGCCGACTAAATGCACGAAATGCCAGGAAAGAAAGATAGCGCCTAATTCTACTCTTTACGCCTTTTGTAAACTGGAATTGAGTTTCGACCAGTTTTCTCCTTCACTGGAATTGAGAAGGGAATTAGAGATTGAATAAGATCATGGTCATGCAGAGATACATACGGAACGAGGTTATATCAACTCCTGTTACCTTTTAAGCACAATAGGAAGAGGATTCGTAGTCAAGCAGACGAACTGCCCTCCCCCTCCCTCTGAGAAATACTTGTTCATAAACAGTGTTTGTACGTGTTATTGGTCATTCCCATCACAGAAAGCAAAAAACAAGAGCACTATTGGATGCGATAATTATGACAAAGCTTTCACTAAGTGATTGATGCATGGGGTAACCAACAAGACACCCCAAAGTCTGTAATGAGACCATCATGGACCCAGGCGAAGGCAAAGACCTAAGCTATCGTCATCATTCGTATTGAAAATATACGTGGCGGTTGATATATGGTACCAGTCATTCTCACATCATACCGCTGCAATGAAAAACTACTCAATGAAACCGATTTTAATTAACCAGAAGAATCCGACCTTCCGCCTCGTCTCTCAACGTAGCAACAAATCAACTGAATCGAAATTATCAATGTTTTCGTTGGTTTTTATTTAAACTAATCATGTCACATGTGAGTTATCATTATTAAACGAAGCGCAATAACAAAATGACATATTAACAGCAAACATTCAAGTGCTATTTATTTAATTATTTTTGAATTGTGTGTGATACACTAGAAAAACGCGCCCATTTGGGAATGAAAATACTTGTTCAAATGCGTTTCTATTTCAACCGCTTGGAAAGATAAAAATCAGATGAGCTGAGGACTGGTGAATATGGAGGATGTTGTAGAACCTCATAATTTAATTCCCGATTCTCAGAGGGTCGTACTTGCTTTATTGAACCAGATATTGGTCATGATAAAAAAAAACCTGAATTTTTTCCTCTAATTTCTGGTCTAATCGTCCCAATTGTTGACAACAGTAAACTTCGGCTGCAACCATTTTGGTCGGCTCCAGCTAATCGGATGGGATTATTCCACATAAATTTCATCAATTTTTTTAAAAGAAGTTCCCGAAGACCCAATCCTAGCTTGAATTGTGTTTGATTTGTAGACAACCATTACCTTTTCCCCATTTATGTTGTCTTTAGCGATCCACTTCCCATCATCCGTGTCAACTGTGCGTAAAAAGGAAACACACGTATCTGTCCTTAGCCGCAGTTGTACAGAAAATGATAATACAACACCCAAATTTCCATCCTGTTCAATCTCACCCTATGCTTCAAGAGTAATTGTACAGTGGCAGCGTCGACATGAGGGCTTCTACAACCATTCTTTCTTAGTTAACCGATAATTCTATTAAACCAGGAGTTCAATACGTCAGCACAAAATTTATTGGTAGGCTGGTTTTAACCATTAATAGGCATTCCACGTGTCCAATTAAAATAGCTCCCACCGAAATTGGCATCGGCTAGCTTTCAAGCGGTTTCAAGCAAGCCCAGATGAAAGAGAGAGGCAGCAAGCAATGCCTGACGTGTTCTTGGTCTCTTTTGGGGATGAGAAATTTTAGCCCTTAAACAATAAAATGAAATTCATTGCTCGTAAATGATGCTGAACGATCTGTCTACTAGGGAAAAAAAAACGCGGCTTACTGAGTCTGAGCACAAACTGAATTTAAATATCTGCTTGTGAAATTCGCCAATCTCCTTATCGGTTCCCTTAACATCATTTCATTTTCTAAACTTCCACCGATTTTGCAGTCGAAATGAAGTGGGTGAAAAATAGAGGGAACGTGAAAATATGCGGACTAATTTGAAAACGGGCTACAAACGAGGCTGGAGATAACGCGAAATAGACCATTAGACCAGAGCGAAATATTTACACTTCAAAGCATCAACCCCTATGGGTGAATTTCTCTCTCTGGGATTCAAAAGTGGCGTGATTCCGGAGTGAATTGGTAGCTGGACCTCATTCAACGCCCGATTTCCGATTTTCTAGCCGAAAGACGATGAAATAATTGATGACGAAACCTTTTTGGTATGAAGAATTAAATGTAGGCAAGGAAACGCCAGAAATAAACCCTTACACCCTCCCTCCCCCCCCCCCTTATCTTCAGCATTCGTCTTCGTTTCTAACTTATCACAATTTATATGATTCGATCACAAGAATCCAATTATTTATAATTTCAAAAGATATCGATTCAATTTCACGGAAAAGTGAATACCCGAATCAGTATCATCAGAGGACTAGTGGGCAGTAAAACGTGAATACTTAAACTTTTAAATCTCTTAAGATCCCGTGCAGTCCTATTTCGAAATAAACTTATTAATTCAAATGAAAGCTTATGAAATGCCCTATTAACTATGCTTAAATGAGAACTATGTTAAACCCTCTTTGAAATTAAGCCTTCAAACGCAAAATATTAATTAATTAATATAAACATGGCTCACTTTTTTACAGCATTACAAGTTTCGTCCAGTTTTGTATTGTGCTGCTTGGAAGATTTTAACGATGGTGACAGGCGCTTTTTGTCTGTTGAAGGCGAAGGTGATTCGGGAGATGAGGGAACTAGAAGTTGTTGACAGGAGGCGGAACTCAGACGGATGGCTGCAACCTGAACCCACAGATTCAGCTGACCTCGACGTCGCAACTCTGGAGAAGAGGGGTCAGCTGAGAGATCTACAATGAGAAGAATAGAAATTGAAGAGGCTAGAAGTTTTAGCTACTAGCAATAATAACCTAATAATAATCTTTAATTGGGGTGTGCGATAGACCTACCTCCAAGTGGTGCACCCTGGGTAACGTATAATCATGCGCAAAATAGCCGTTGAACCGGCAGTTGACTTCTGACTTCAAACTACCATGACCTGACTCCATGTTATATTCCATTATTTCCACAGTACTGACCTCACCTTTTTTCTACCTTATGTATGTCTCTCTTACATCTTTGAAACGCTCTTCTGTTCCTCCCCCCCCCCTCTCGACTTTCTTTCACTTTGATGTTCCTTCCCCTCTGTGAAGCCCGAAGTCAACCAAAGGGCTAATGATAACTTTCAAAACGGCTGCCAATTGATATAAATATATATAAAAAATTCATAAGTCTATAAAAGGAAAGCAATGTGAGAGATCATTCTAGCGTCTGTTGGAATCAGAAAGTGGGTTTCGTTCTACACATTATCCTGTATTAATTAAACAGCTAACAAGTAATCGAGTGATGCTGCCAATCAATTTCCAAGATCTGTAAGTTCCAATTGAGATCCCTTAAAAAAACGAACAAGGAGTAGAAATAACTTGCAAATGAGTTAGGTATTAATATGCCCTAACACTCGTTTTTGGAGTACTTGTCCAAGAATACTGGGGGCATTAGGGTTTATTGGACAGATAATGAATTTCGCGGGATCCAATCAAGTGAGAATCTTGACCTAAGTATATTTTTTAGGACTGTACCAGCGTACTTTGAATAAAATTCGAACACGCAGAGCTCCGAAAGAAAAGGAATCCACGCAGTATCTAAGCTGTAAAAAATATCAAGAGCAGAAAAACGAGTTGACAATCAAGGGGTTCTGAGATCAAAAGTAATGCGGAAAGGCCAACCGCACTGGTTAATTCTAGCCAACAGGGGGGGGGGGGGGTGCGGGGGAAGTGGGGTAAAATGTGGGCTTCTTTTATTCCCTTATTCAGGACCTCTTAGATCTACTTAAGTCAAGTGGTTTAGGCCTTCCCTTTAGTGGTCTTGAGAAGTGTAAACTCGAGATTTCATTTCTTTTCTTATTTCCCTTACTGTAACTCAAAGGCAGCTGGAACAAATATTCACTTTAGGTTAGTATACTAAGTTAGTTCTATAGCATAATTGAATTCACTTAAATAATCTGGTCTTCAGTTGTGATTTCGAAGGTAGAAAAATCCTTGAATTAATCCTATAACCTACTGAAATGACTTGATGGTTATTATTGAAGCGAAACTCACGACTCACAATTCTGGTGATATTAGTTCGAATCACCATTACCTATTTATGCATGAGGAATCGGGGCCAATTCTACTAAATTGATCTTATAAATCAAACGGAAATCAAATGAAGAGCAATTTCTTATCGAGCGCGTCAACAAGGAAGCACAAACACCGCACCTAACCTCGTTTGCCACTACCACAATCTAGCAGTGAAAAAAAAAAGAGAAAAAATTGCAAAAGAGGAGTGAGGGGGGGGGGTTAACTACGGAGAAACCTGAAATTGTCGACAGAAAAAAGAAGGGGTGTGTTCGTACTAGAATGTGCACCAACAGCCAGACACGAAAGAGCCCCACCCCCGCGCCTCCTCCCTCCCCCCCCCCCCCAAGTGGGCAGTTAATATGGGGTGTCGCGTGAGATGAAACCGATAAATAAAATCCGAAGATGACCTGAATTCTGTGCATTTCAAGGCATTAATGGTCAACGAAAGTACACAAAACTGAAAATGAAGTTCCTAAGGGGGCGAAAAGTGAAACCTTGACTCGGCTAATATGCCAACGAAAAAAATCGACATTTTGAATTAGGTTAAATTCCACGAATCAGATGTCGAAAATCCTGAACTACGAAAACTAGCCGCGATATCTTACCTTCCGTAAGTATGTCCAGTACCTACCCAAGGTAGATCTTAGTGGGAGACGTTGTCGCCCACAAGCATAAAAGAAATCCAAGACAGTTTCAAATAAGGGCATTGAGGAAAAATATCCACAAAATGCGCCAAGGGGTAGGTCAGAATCGATATGAAATCTTGACGGTCGTGTAGTTGAAAAACCACTGGTGATGTGACCACCAACCTACTGTTTCATCAGAATGAAAGACAGATGATCTAATTGAATGAATTATTGGGACCTTTCTATACCATCCGACAATTATGAAATACAAAAGTCATTCCTTTCTCGCATGAAACCATGACTGTTACAAATAGTGACACCAAAAACATTCCAATTCAATTCATTGGAGTGTGGAATTGATCGAGTTTGGAAGATTGAGCCGTGACGTCAATCCCACATTTAGAGCACAAATATCCATAATAAGGCACAATTCTTTTTCATCAAATAACACAAGCACCTAAATAATACTAATCAACCCACTCCCATTACTACTCATAACGAATTTATGCCCCGATAATAGGGTACCAAGAGGGAGTAAACAGATGCATATCTCTAAACATGCCTACATGATGAACAAGAGCCATTTTCTGGCTATTCTTTCGTAGGATATGCAAACGTCTACCGGATAGACAGTAATACATCGGGTCACTACTTTAGTGTCATGGACAAAAGAGAAATTGAAATTACGTCTAGACTCAACCCCCCCCCCCCCTCTCTGATTCTATTTAGCGCGGAGATGGCTCAAGGGCACTGAATTTATGGTATAAAAATGAAAATAAAGTATGCCTTAGCGAATTTGTGAAGATGTAGCTCCCTTAACCAAGGGGTTCAATTATCATCAATTAAGAAGCCAAGTCCCCTAGAATATACTGACTATCACCAATCGGATTGCAGGCATCTCTATATATTCTCAAACACACACCTAGTATGTATGAACCCTAGTTCCAGACTTTTAATTCCCGGACACCAAGCCCAAATATTATTTCTTGCACATGTTCACAGGTCTGGAGAAGTCACTGGAAATTAATTGCTCACTCAAGCTGGCCAGCCAAACGCAAACACGCTTTTCTTACTGGGTAAGTAGCTAATGGATTGGCAGAAAGTTCGACAACTAAGGTCCGTAGTATAAAGACTACATGGATGGTAAAATTAAACCAAACAAATTTTTGCCAAAGAGTAAGCTAGGTATTTGTGAATAATGAAATGCATAGGGAACCGTCAGTAACTTCATGATCATATACGAAGCTGTCATAATCTCCAGAATAGACAATCATCGACTATCTCTCTTCCCAAATTAACACATGAATCACGTCCTCATTTCATCTGAAGTTAGTGGTGAAATGTGGATCTGAGATAGCACTCCCCGAAAAACTAACAGAATCCAACGCGGTTTGGCCAACTTATCTGTGGGAATTAAATTCTCTAGAAATAGTCACATCAATTGACAATACTACATATGTAGGACAATTATAGAGGGAAAGTCGCTGCAACTCAACAGCAATTGATTCATGCGTTCTCAACCACTCCTTGATATTGTCGGTATGCAAATAACTTCATTATTTTTATTAGTAAAGGGAAGATAGGGTGACCCTTATTCCCAAGCGAAGCCAAAACTAATTAAAAACTTCCTCTAATATCTTCGGTTTTAGGTGAATGGCTGGGCCTAAGGTGAGAACTTTAGGGTCACTAGTTTGAAGGGACCAGGATTAATAGGTTATAGGAAATAGATTGCGACTATAGGTGACTTCCAAATCTGAATGCCAGAAGTTGGGAATAGACCAAATTAAGGTGTACAAGGACGATCATCGTTCAAGAGGTGAGAAATTGAGATTACATTAGTGTATGAATACAAGCAAACCTAATACATATATATATTTAAATGCGGAGATTAAAGGCACTGGACAGTTCTTATTTGAGCGGCCATGCCATTGGCCGATAGGTGTAATATTTAAACAAAAGCCAGGTCCGTATACAACAACCCGATGGACACCAACATTACTGAACAATCTGGTATTCCCTCCTGAAAATGTGCAAAATTGACAACTGATAGCTTTTGAGAGGCTGCCTCTTATGTGCATATCGAAATGTAGATTGTTTGACCATTCCATCCATTAGAAGCCACGATATTGCAATATCTTAACATTATGACGAAGCAGTGAAAAACCAGACGTATCGAGTTACCAGAAAACGTTAATTTACGATGATGCATTTGTGGTTAGTCACACCACAGCCCACTAACAGATAAGCTGAAAACTTCGCTTTATGCTGAGACAACTTAGAGACTCCCTTTTATTTACCTAATGAATCACACGACCACCCCCCACCCCCACTCACTTAGATGTAATCACAATACGAGATCTGGATTTGTGATAAAATCACAAAAAAAGTGAGGAACAACACAGACGGCAACCGCCGCAATCTCCTAGCCCGACACGTGATAAATATTTAGGGGATGGATGAGAAGGGGCTGGTGCGTCAACGTCACCACTTCGCACCCCCCCCCCCTCCCCTTCAAAGCGCAATGACTCATTCGCTCCGGTAAGTCTAAAATGGCCGATAGCAGAAACATCAACTGAAAATACAAATAACAACGACAACCTGGAGTGGACCAAGTAAGGTCATCCAATTCTTGAAAGCCAAGCTTCAGTACTTATTTACTTAACCTAGGTGTACCTTATTTATTAACGCAGAAAACTAGCATGACGCATCCCAAAACTGGTCACTACATTGGTCCAAGTTTATCACAGAGTAGATGGTCCTCCTCCATATAATCCTCATGGTCAAGACTAACACCTGACATTTCAATGGAATCTGGATAATAAATTAAAAGAGAAGGGGAGTGGGGGGGGGGTGCCTTTACTACCCCCAGGTGGGCAAAGGCAATTGGGGAAAGAAAATTGCAGTAGAAAAACGCCCTTTGCGTCATTGAATCTTTTTGCCATATAAAAAGACAGACGCTGCATAGTTTCTTTAAATATATTTTTTAGCGAAAATGATCTATTGAATGCGAGGCAAATGTGGTCAAGGCAACCCATCTACAAATGTTGGTCTGCTACTTAATGGTCAATTCTGACACTGAAGTCAGAGATCACGTACCTGATCACTAGTAGTGTACATTTATTGAATGGTATGCTCAAATCTAGGCAAAAGAGGGCTGTAGAATGCAAAATACTCACCAAAGGTCTTTCAAATGGGAATTTCTAAAGACAACACTAGTGCAGAAAACATTTCTCAACGAAACTGAACTTGACCATGCTCGAAACAAAAAAACCACCTATAACGGAAATAAGCAACACACAACGTGTTTGATTCATTCTTATAAATTATCACATCTAAGCAGTTAGATAGAAATCTGATTTCCCAACTCAGGAAATAAAGGAAAGGTCTTAAATGATGGCATCTCGGTGAAGAAACAGAATTTCGAAAATTAATCTAACGAGAAACAAAAAAATGAGAAAACGTGCACATAGAAGGAAAAAAGTTGGTAAAAAATTTCGAAAACTTCGACTGGACATTTACTGCCGGTCAATTCTGTGAATGAACTAGACATTTACTATGACAGGTGCAACGAAAGATTAGGCGAGATGGGTCAATCACTCCCACCTTTACTGATGACAACACATTGGCGCCAGATTCAGACCAGTCTTTCGTACTTCTTCTGAATGCTTACACCTAACCCCGAAGGCGTTGTCAGGAATCCACTGGTTACACCATAAAATGCGAGAATTAACAAGGCATCGACTTGAATATAAACAAATATTCTGGAATTTAACAGAGTATACTTAAAAATTTCATGCAAAACACTGACACTTTCTGCAGCTTGATCACTGCGATGCCTTTCTGATACCTAGAATTAATAATAAAATTGACGGAGAAGAGAAGTAGACACGTTTTAAAGCGACCGCGAGAGAGAGATCAAGAGCAAGTAGTATCGCACATAATTGTGGGATAAATTTATGAACAGAGAAATCACTAATAGTGCTCAAATTATATGCTCGTATATACTTAACCTCGGGTGCGCGATGGACTTATCTCACATGGTGCAGTTGACTCCTCACTTCAAACTGCCATGACCCCATTGTATGCCATATTTGACCACTTCCACAGTTCTCATCTCTCCCTATTCCCTACCGTTGTGTCTGTCTGTCTCTTTTACATCTGTGAATCACTCTTCAATTTCTACCGTTGTGTCTGTCTGTCTCTTTTACATCTGTGAATCACTCTTCTGCTCACCCCCGCCCATCGTCTTTTTGTGGTTTAGTGTTCCTCCTTACTGTGAAACCCGAAGTTAACTAAAGGACTAATGATAACTACCATAAAGTCTGCCAATTGCTATAAATAATTATTTACTCTCGGCTAGACAAAATAAGAGTTGTTTTATCAGAATATAGACTCCCGAGCACCATAAGATCTCACCTTAAGTCCCCCTCCCCTCGACCCCTACTAGCATTCCGTTCACTGAGCATGCACAAATGAGCATAGAATTCAAAGGCTCCAATTTCGCAGACAAGGACAGGAATCCTTGCGCTACTGACGCATACTTAGCATTTGAAGAATCTCTCACCTAACTAGAAATTAAACACAAATTCATTTTAAAAGGAGAGCAGCCGATAAATCCTAACACTTACACCTTAGATTGCGCGTCTTTAACTGAACCGAAACACTACACCAAGTACTCTATGCAACAAAATTGGAAATAATGACGAGATAATATGCCCAAAAAAACGAATTTGGAGATGTGCGCGTTTTGAGGTCACCCGACGAAGTAGAAGTGTTACCTCTTAGTCATCAAGGCAGGGAGGACAGATTGGGAAATACACTGATACATACCTGGAATTTGCCTATTGCATGGATGCGCTTAGAGGAAATAAAATTCACGGAAGGATGCTGTAATTAACTCTAATAAACGCAAAGTGGATGAATGGATCTCATGATTAGTTCAAATACTTATAAGAAAGATGCATGTTTCACATATATTATTTTCGTAGGAGAATAGAAACTGCGATATTTGGACCACTATGGATCTATCAAAATGAGATCAACTCATACCTCTTAATAGATCACAATATCATAAACCTCTTAAGACAAAGTCTTATTAAAAGAAGGGTAAAACTTTAATTGATATGATCTATTATGGTAATTGTAGCATATATTTATGGAAGTACCACCTTTGACCTCGACTTGACTGTTCTTTATAGATGGGGAAATTGGTGAAGGCGTTGTGTTGTGGCTTTCAGCAAGGACAATAACAAACAGTCGGTGAGTTGCTCATCGAAGTACATGGAGAACACTTGCTGGAAACTACTGCATATTTAGCTTATAATTATTCATTGCTTAATTTTAATTAAAAAGAAATAAAAGCTTGCACTTATACAATTATACATAATCTCTTTCATCTTGCCCACTCTACCACCTCGAGTAACCAAAGAGATTATGAATTGAACAACTTAAAATTAGGAATGGGAAAGAGCCCATAAAGTATTATTATTATTCAATTATTAGCAAAAGAGACAAAAGGCAACCTAGCTTTCTTGCTCATTAATCTTTATTTTCGATTTTGGTCAAATATGGTGGACGGTTTTAAAATAATCATTTTCTTCAGGAATTTCACAGTCCTATCAAACTAGATGTAATGAATTATGTATCACAAGAAGAAAACAAGAAAGATGACAATAGGCAGACATTTCATGACAGCCTAGTTTTGATAAATAGATTCAATAAAATACCAAATAACACACACCCAAATTCCTTTGAAATTGTGGTTCAAAAGGATTTATAGTGATATAAAAAATGGATTAATCCGCTAGTTTATTAATAACAATAATAACAGATTAACAGGAACACAAACATATAAAAGCAAAAGAAGATTACCACAATAAAAGACAGTTGTAACGACTAGAATGTACATAAAACATAAAAGACAGAGCTTTAAGTGAAGTGAACCAGAAAGCTTACCGATATCAGAACCATATCCAGTATCATTGAATTTAGCCGAAACGATGGGAGAAGGCTTAATTTTTCTACCACGATCTAGTTGACTAGCAAGTGCGTGTTGGCCAGTACTCCTCAGCGCATTAGTTAAAAGTGCGAGTTTCGCATTTTTGCTGTAACGTGGGGGAGAGTCACACTCGGAATCTAATAAGTCTAATAATTTCTCAACCTTTTGATTGTGCTTGCATTTTGACTGCATTAATTCAGAAGCGGACACAGAGGAAATTACACCATGAGCTACCATATAATCAATAATCGGTCCATCGAGTTCTAGATTTTGCAGAACAGATAGAATTTCTTCCCTTTTCAATGGACTAGACTTGGCCTGCTGTCCATATGTATTCAGTGGGGATTTTGATTCAGGAGATTTATTAAAACCGTCCGTATTCAAACGATTCAATACTTCGGCCATTTCATAAGGTAGATATTCCTTTATTTTCTGTAATAAATCAGAGGACAGTGTGACAGAATCCAATTGGCTCAGCTCAAACCATCAGAAAAATGCGACCTTTCAAGGGTTAAAATCTCGCTGATATGAAAACGGTTAAAACAACGCGTTTCATGAAGGTCTTGATTAACGTCGTTAGTATAGATTTAAAGACTCTGTGAGTTTTAAATTGTTTTTTGTCTCCTTCAATTAAATTTATATTTTCATTAATTTTTTATATGAATGGATTGAGTTCTTAAGTTTTCATTTTTTCCCATATCAAACATAGTAACAGCGATTAACCGCTTATCAATATGACAGCTTTAATAGGATAGTACAAATATTAACGAAATAGAATATGAATAATTTTATTTTTCAATTTGAAGATTTTGAAGATGCAATTGTTGAATTTTTTACCAATATGAACGCACTTAAATATCATATATGACTTTGTCTATAATTGCATAAAACCTAAAAATGTTTTACATATTATCGTCAATGTGTGACGTGAATCATCAATGCAAAATAACTATAATGAATAAACTCCACATTCATTTTTAGTTACCATCATAGAAATCAGAATCAAACTCTCCGGTTAACAAATTCATTTGTTCTCGATGAAACTTTGATGCTAGCGACTTTCATTCGTCACGATAGACCTATCAAGGCAATGCTTTACTTAATTATAGAATTACTAAAAAGGTTTTGTGAATCACACAGGAGACCATCTAGTATCGTTTTTTAGTGAGAATATCAATTGTTCCAGGTCGAGATATTTGGAAATGAATAACGTTTGTTAAGGGTGCATTTAACAATTTTGCGGTGGTTTAAAGTACTAATTTTATTAAAATACGTTTGAATTGGTCCTTAAAAATACTCAATATTAGCTATTTCTTATGTTTACTTAGTTAGGACATTGAATTTTGGTCTATAAATAGCTTATCTCCAGATTCTCGAAAAGTTTTTACAGAGCAGTTTTACATTTCTGCTATTCCTTTCCATTGTCTAACCAAGCACTCTTCAATCGATGCTATTCTATCTGGCCAGAATCCCAATGTTCACGGTTACTTACGTAGTGGAGTCAACCTAGAATGATTTTTCTTATTATTTCGAAGAAATCTGAAGCAAATGGCGTGACTATTTACCATTTACTGCTCAATATTTTCAAAGCGTTATAAAAATAATATAAAGTCACTCAAAAGTCAAGCTAAAATATTGCTAAAATTTGTCCTTAAAATACTTTTACTGATATAGCAATAGCATCCATAAAATATATCTTGCTGTAACTAATAAAAATACATTCAATAAAAGGATTCACTATGGCAAAAGAATTAACCTTGTGGGATTTCGATCAATCATCCAACCAACCAACAAATGGAACTGAGATGATAATCGCTCTTGTCTTAAATTATTTTTTATTTACAATGGTACAATATCCTTTTTCAGGTGGGAAGATCATGAGTTAGATAAAAGTATACTCGAGAATTAAAAACGAATGTGAGGACAAAGCGGGAGAGCGGAATATAAATAAATGTGCATAGTTAGCAACGAGCATGGTAAAACAGGATTGTATCGAAGGGGCGATATAAAGTGCGTAAGATTTTGACGGATTTCGTAAATCTCTTTCATGAATGGTCGATTTACAATTGAATTAGAGATAGGAACCAGTAGGGGGACTGACTGAGCAGATCTATGAGTCAGTACGAACAAGGGCTGCTCGACTAAATCATAAGTAAAATTATGATGATATTACTTTTGTTTAGCCACTCTCCTGAACCAAGCTAAGTTGTTGCCCATTTACACTATATCTAATTTCTTCCAGTCTCTTTCTATTAAGTCCACCTGAAACTGTTTATTTACCTCATTTGGAATAGCTTGGTTGTCCGATAATTTGAGCAGCATATCTAGGCAACGAATAAGTATAGTTTGCAACATTCTATCGAATACACATGGTAGCTTATATTTACATACTGAGATAGTTGCCAGCTGATTACTTTATTGATTGTCCGTTTCCGAGAAAAGGAGTAAGTCTCCATGAAGGAATATGGAACCACCAGAAAGACTTCTACAGAATCTGAAGAAGTTCAACAATTAAAGCGTGGGGTCAAGGTAAAAATAATTATCAGTAATTAATAATATTCGCACTTGGCGAAATGGTTGATGTTGTTTCGTTTTGTATCTTGCTCTTTAGCCCACTTTATGGAGTTATAACCAACCTCACCCTAAACTGGGATCTATAGTGGCTTGAAGCTCAAAAAAACCGGTTCAGCTCTGAGAAAGTAGCTATGCTTATGTGGAAATAGGTGAGGAAAAAGCGACTGGATGAATGATTTGTTTTCGTTACTGGAAGTTGTATATTATCTTATTCTAGGCAAAGAAGCTCAAATTTAACGATTTTTCGAGTGCCCTCGGAGCACTTGTAGTGTACTAATAAAATTACCGAAGTTAATTGATTTGGTGCCTAACCAGTTTGGTTCCCATTATAATTGGGAACAATGCTTATCACTTACTTTTTTTAAATGAACTATTATGAATTATGCTATAATGTTCAAAGTCTGGATTGATGTGTAATAAATTGCTGTCATAACACCTCTCTCTCTCTCTCTCTCTCTCCCTCTCTCTCTCTCTCTCTCTCGAAAGCAATTAATACTTGTGGAATTCCGATTCTAAGCCAATAAGCATGCCCTTGAGACCTCAGAATTCATTTACAGCGTGGTATCGCTCCAATTTTGTTTAGCGTTAATTTTGGTTTCTGCCTGTTTCAATTCCAATGTTCATTTTATGCAAACACGGCCTCCTAAGGTGAAAACATCTTGAGACATGACTCATTTATAGAAGTGGCCTACGCCTTTTTTTCTCTCGCATGACTTCATATTTTACGCTTTCTGAATCACAGTGTCCATTTACGGATAATTGCCGTTTATTACCTCAAGAATGTCGCCGATTATTCTTCCCATGACCGGAGAAGCCTATAAAGATTTGGCAATAAATTGATCGTGTTTGCTTAATTGCATATATATTTAAAATATTACATATTAAATATCGATTGTGTAACAAATTAGTCGACCAGTTATTAACTCTCTCTCTCTCTCAGCACATTATGAACTAAGTTAATAAAGGAGTTTTAAAGGCGAGTCTGTAGCGGATTGCTACCTTAGTAAAGCCTGACTGACTCAGAAATCTCTATGGGAGATTCTCCAACACCTAGCTAGACTCCCAGAACAAGCTAAGCTATAGCCCAGCTATAAAGGAAACAGACGTGTAGCAAGGAGCACGTTTATTCAGGACGTACATTGCGGATCAAGTGTACACGCATGGAGCTACTCATGATCAGGATGGGGGATTAGGTTAAACAGAGGTTGATGATTGGTCACTGCTTGTACGGTCGCTGCACACAGGGTTGTACGGCCGCACCTCCCAATCCTGGCATACGATGACGCATAGAGCGATAACGTGTCCCACAAGTCTACTCCTTATTTATTATTAT